TTTGTCTTCTCTTTAGTAGCTGGACTCCGACACTGCAGCTGCTGTCCTCCCGCGGGCAAGTCTGGCCCCTGCTCTGACGAGGGAATGCTGCACGTGGGGCAAAGCTTAGTGAAAAAGCAAGAAGATTCTTTGCTATTTCAAAGGGAGAAATTAAAATATCCTCAGGCCGGTGCCGCGGCTCACTAGGCTAATCCTCCGCCTTGCGGCGCCGGCACACCAGTTCTAGTCCCGGTCGGGGCACTGGATTCTGTCCCGGTTGCCCCTCTTCCAGGCCAGCTCTCTGCTGTGGCCAGGGAGTGCAGTGGAGGACGGCCCAAGTGCTTGGGCCCTGCACCCCATGGGAGACCAGGAGAAGCACCTGGCTCCTGCCTTCGGATAGGTGCGATGTGCCGGTGTGCTGCGGCGGCCATTGGAGGGTGAACCAACGGCAAAGGAAGACCTTTCTCTCTGTCTCTCTCTCTCACTGTCCACTCTGCCTGTCAAAAAAAAAATTCTTATTGCCAATTCAAGCCTGTGGTTTATAAGCCAGGAGAAATGCTGCTTAGAATATAGAGAGCACACATTTGGATTATCCGAGGATTAAAAAAATATATATCCTCAAAAACCGAACTCATGTGGCTGAGATGACGTGGAGAAGTAGCCTTTTTGGAACCACCTTAATTTAGGTGTTGAATAGGACTGTGATAAAGTGACAAAAAGAACTAAGTTATGTGCTCATGTGCGGGCACTTCCTGGTATGTGTTTTAGTAAAATGCTAGCAAGTATATAAAAATAAAAAAAAGAATTGCTTTTGTCAAACTCTGAACTCTCTTGGGAAGCTTGGAAATAGCAAGACAGGCCACAGCATGGTCGCTCCGCCAAGACATCACCAGGCATTTATCAGCTGAGTGCTGGGCTGTTCTGGGGGGACACGGAGCAGGGGAAAGGCAGTTTCCAGGGGTTAGGAGTGGCAGTAAGTGGCAAGAAGTGGGAGGGCTGGAAAAGGGAAAATGGAAAAGGCGTGTAGATCTTGGATTAGCCCCGTGTAATAAGGATTGTTCTAAGGCGAGCAGGTGCACGGCGTAATTGTGAGGCTGAGAGAGGAGTGTGGTAGGAGCGCTCAGCGTCACTGTGACGCCCAGGTCACACAGCTGGGGTGGGGAAGGCTCAACCCGGAGATCACAGGTGGTGGCCGACTCCTCCAGGCTTTCACCTCCAAGCTCTTCCTCTTCTCGGGGAGCGTGCACACGCTTGTCCTCCTGCCGTTAATTGGTAGACTTCTGAAACTCACCACTAGGTGCTGAGGACGTTAGGTTTTCTGCTGTTAAGTTTTCAATCAGTACTTTCCATGATTTTTATAATGAATAAATAATACATTTAACAAATACTTTGTCCCTATGAATTAATCCATCATAGGGTTTTTATATAGAATATATATATGTATTATTTCTGGTTTCAAATCATTTCTGTAATTCTGGAATAAGCCCTGTTTGGTCCTTTGGGAATATTCTGCAATATGCTGTTGAACTGGGTTTATTATAGTTACATTAAGTTTCTTTCATGTAATTATAAAGGGAAATTAGTCTACAATTTTTTGTGAGTTATACTCTGCTTGTTCAATTTTGGCTTCAGGTTTAGAGTAGCCTCATAAAATCAGTAGAATTTCCTTCTTTTTTGTTTCATGAAACAATTCATTTACAAAAGAGAACAGCTTGTCCTTAAACATTTGATAAAGTTATACTGTGAACCATCAGACTAACATTTTTTGTCATAAGAAGATTTAACTGGCCAGCGCCGTGGCTCAATAGGCTAATCCTCCACCTAGCGGCGCCGGCACACTGGGTTCTAGTCCTGGTCGGGGCGCCGGATTCTGTCCCGGTTGCTCGTCTTCCAGGCCAGCTCTCTGCTATGGCCCAGGAGGGCAGTGGAGGATGGCCCAAGTGCTTGGGCCCTGCACCCACATGGGAGACCAGGAGAAGCACCTGGCTCCTGCCATCGGATCAGCGCGGTGCGCCAGCCACAGTGCGCCAGCCGTGGCGGCCATTGGAGGGTGAACCAACGGCAAAAGGAAGAGACCTTTCTCTCTGTCTCTCTCTCTCACTGTCCACTCTGCCTGTCAAAAAAAAAGAAAAAAGAAAAAGAAAATTTAACTAATAATTCAATTCCATACACAACCATGGGTTTAAGTTTTCTATTGTGTGAAAAATTTTCATTTAAATCAAGTTTTCACATTTGTTCTTATGAAATGATTCAAAATACTCCCTTGTGACTTAAAATTTAAAGTATATCTATAATTTTGAGACCCTTTTCAATTGGTTTTCTCAAAGAAGGATCAACATAAGAACTAATCAGTCTGTGGTTATCTGATAAAACTAGTCAGACAGACACACATCTGTCTAAATCTTTTTTTTAAATGAGAGAATACAACATTAGAAGCCGGTTAAGGTCTCTTCCAAGTGGAACATTCCACGATTGTGGATTATGACGTGGCCTACTGGGACAGTTTGCCTGCCCAGCTCCAGCCTCTGCCATTCCACTTGGTTGCTCAACCCACGTTACCTAAGCTAGGGATGCAGTCCAATCTGCACACCTTGCTTACCTGATAGGTCCATTAGCTGGGGCTGAATGATGGACTCGCTGTAATCATGGCTCACGGAACACCTACAATGTGACAGAGACTGTGCAAGGTACGGGAGTCCAAAGTGGTAACGTCCCAGGCAAGACACACACCAGGCAGTGACGCAAGCAGTGATGGCCATGAAGGGTACTAGGCAAGAGGAAGGAGTGGTGCCATAGCAGAGGACCGACAGGGCGCAAAGTGCACCTGGTTGCCGAGGGCTGGAAGTGGGGTAGTGAGGGCAGGAAATGGTACGCAGAGGAAGTGGCTCAACGTGTTCTGGAGACCAAGTAAGCCAGACAGATGTGAGACTGGAGGACATGAGAAAGAGGTGGCTTTCAGGACTTGGGAGAGTCATCTAGGAGCAGTGGAAGCCACGGATGGTTTTCAACACCGTCTCTGGTCAAGCACCTGGAAGCTACATCTCGGATCCTACCCCTGGCTCTCTAGCTGTCTTCTTAACATGCTTACTTTATATTTCATTTTATTTTATTGTACTTATATGGTTAATATTCTTATTTTTCCCACTCAACAAAGCAAAATCCACTAGTTGGTATCCCACATGTGACACCTCTCAGTTACTGGAGTGAATGCTCCCATTAGTCAAATGGTGGCTTCAAACATTGGGAACATTTGTTCAAAGCGGGTCTGTATTACAATCAGCTGTCTGGCCTTTTCTTTTGAACCTCTTGGTTTTTAAAGCCGTATTTGTTGAGCTGGTGTCATGACATAGTGGGTGAAGCCGCCACTTGGAATGTCGGCTTCCCATATGGACACCGGTTCCTGTCCCCGCTGCTCCTCTTCTGATCCAGCTGTCTGCTAATGGTCTGGGAAAGCAGCAGAGGATGGCCCAAGTGCTTGGGCCCCTGCATCTACATGGGGGACCGGGATGGAGTTCCTGGCTGTTGTGGGGAGTGAACCAGCAGATGGAAGATCAATCTTCTGTCTCTCCTTCCCTCCCTGTAACTCTGTTTTTAAAGTAAACAAATCTTTTTTTAAAAAAAATAGGGAAGCATATTTGCAGTAAGTATATTTTTCAGATGTCTTGAGAGCTGTATGATGTTTGTCTGCCTCACTGTCATGTAGAGTTATTGGTGGGCACTTTGTCCCATCACCCTGTCGTCTTGCCTCCCGGCACAGCTCAGCAAACGTGGTACCTCAGGGTGGATTAACGGGAGAGATTTCACGGTAGCTCTTGGCAGTCCTACTCGCTTACTAATCTCCTTAAATTTCCTTGTTCTTGTGGGGTGAGAGGATATTGCCAGAGGAAATAGACAACCAGCCTCCTGCTCTCTCCTGTTGTTCCATTAGCTAACAGGCTGTTTATCACAGCACCCGGACTTTGCTCTGGGAGAGAAATCACAGGATGTTTTTCAGGAGCCGGGCTATGTTGTCCCGAGCACCCGAATGTCAGTTCTTCCAGTCTGTGTGGAATGCATATTCTGAGCTGGTGCGTTCGTTGGACAACTTTATTGCTATTTCAGGTTGAATAATCTTTTATGTTGTGAATTTGCTTAGTTCTTCAGAAATATTGCAATTTAAAAGTTTTATACTTTTTCTAATCAATGATACACCCAAAAGTTTATAGTGATGCCAGGCTTGGCATACATAAATCAGTTTAGAAATTTGCCTTTCCAAAAAAATGTGTTGCTTTAGCAGATTTCACAGTTATATGATGAAACAATTTTCATTGTGGCAGTAACTTATAGACCAAAAAGGTGCATGTATATGGGTCTCCATATTTATGCTATATCTGTATATATAGTTGTGATATATGTACATATCCGTAAGCCATGTAAAGAATGCAGTAATCCTACACATACCTGATTTTTAATTTTATCTAATTTAATAGTAAGCTATCGAGCTAATAAACTTAAAGGCAAAATTAAAAAAAAAAACTAAACTACCTAACTGACTACTTATCAACCCTAGCCCCTTATTTCAATAATTAGAAATACTAACGAATAACACCACTAATTGAAATATTGATATTGACAAGCCTTTACTTATTTCTTTATTAAGACTGCTTCCTGAAAGTATCACAAGAAGTTAATGAATCGCGTGTTAATTAAGTCTGAACTTTTCTCCTTTATCATTCAAGCAGGCAAAACTGAAATATGATATATTTAAAAGGCTTTATACTAGATTGAGCCTCAGTGGAGATAGAAACACAGTGTGTGATAAGGTTATACGTGAATGTGACAAGAATCTGTAACAGTCATAATGGGGTTTGCTCATTTTGAACGTGGCTTTATCTTAGAGGATCATTTTGGTGCTGAAAATTGAAGTGATCGAATAATGTTTTACCTGGATTTTCTTATTAGCCAAGTGAACTTTACCATGAGAAACCTCATCCAGCTAACGCATCTCTCTCTCTCTCTCTCTCTCTCTCTCTCTCTCTAAGCCTCTTAGCAAATACCCTGCTGTGCTCAATGACATTTCCTTCTGGTTGCCCTCCGAGAATTATGAAGAGAATGACTTCTATGACTTGGTCCGAACGATTGGCGGAGACCTGGTGGAAAAGGTGGATCTCGTGGACCAGTTTGAACACCCAAAGTAAGTGAGAAGCTTCGTGTGACAAACGGCTCAGAACTGCTGGTCTGTTTCTACTTGAACGGTAGTTCGGTTGGACGCGGAAGCCTTGGCTTGTGCTTTTAGGAGTCTCGTGAGTGCTGTTCAGTTGTCTCCTTGTATTCAGTTGGGTGTAAAGGAATCTGAGGCCAAGCTTCATCTCTTTGCTTTTCATGCCACAGGGTTCTTTCCTCACCTCAAAGCGTGATGACTTGAAAAGGCCCCTCCCCCATGTAGATCTGTTCCCCACGGTAACTGGCGCTGACCTGTGTTTCTGTTTTCATCTTGGGAAAGTTGTCTCAAGTTGTATCTTTAAGGGTTGTTTCTGACCCATCGCTCTGTTGGTTTTTCTTGGGGGATCCCAGTCATGCACGGAGAGACTCTCCGATTATTTTGTGCTGCCTTAACCTTGTCTCCTCTTCACTTGGGATGCTGTCCTCACTGTCACTGTCGCTGTCCCCTGATGTATTTTTCTGCCGTCTCTTCTCCCTCGTGCACATTCATCTCCGTCTTCACTTACTCTCACGTTTCCCTCCTTTCCGGATTCTACACTCACATTCCAGCTCCTCTTACTTGCTGCCATCTCGCCTCTGAGTTATTTCTGCCTTGGGATCTTCCTTCATACAAAAATTGCTTCACTTTATTTTTAAAATGCATTGAAAAATATTTAGCCAGAAGTTTCGTATGCTCCAATGGCAACATTTTCCCAAGGCTTTTCTGCTAGCAAGGTTTTCTACCACTTTATCCATTTTTTTCCCCTTAACTGTTTTTAAATTGATGTGTAAGTGATACGCATGTGATTGCTTTTTGTTGCTCATGTTGGAATGCATTGGTTTCCTGAACCTGCTACTTTCACTGGGTAGGAGATGAGGACGGGCTGGCCTGGCTGACAGGCTGGGTGGTCATTCCCCCTGGCTGGTCTTCACACCTCGAGGCTGGCTTTTTCCTCCAAGGTCTAGAAAGTGCTCGTCTCTTTGATCTCTGCTCCTCACCTCAAATCTACACTTGTAATCAGCAGGTTAACCTTGGCTTTCCCTCCATCAGTACCCGATGGTAGAGATTACTTGCTGTGCAGATGGCAGCACTTAGCGCTCAGGGAACATGTACTTTTGCAGGTGTTTCTGTGGGTTGCTGCTCCGTGTGTGATTCTCTTCACATCTTCCGGTTGGCTTCGCCTTGACTTCAGCTGTGTTGGGCAGCCTTTAATTATATGTTGGAGTTTGCAGATGATACTGTCTCCTAACGTCACCTAAAATGAGGTACGGGGATGCCTCGGACCTGGGCACTAGGGAGTGCCCATTCAGCCTTGGACTTTGATGTGAGAGAATTCTCCAGGAGTTTCCATGTTGGTACTGAAAGGCTGGTTTTTTACTTTGTTTTTCCTTTTTTACAAATTTTACTTGTTTGAGAGGCATAGAGAGAGAATATAAATGAATTCCCGTCCTCTGATTCACTCCCCGAACGGCTGCAACGGTGAGGACTGGGCGGAGCTAAAGATGGAACCGGGAACTCCATCCAGGCCTCCCCTGTGAATGGCAAGCCCCAGCTGCTCCAGCCATCACTTCCTGCCTCCCAGGGCCTGCGCCAGCAGGCGCTGAGTCAGGAGCCAGAGCTGGGACTTGAACCCAGGTACCTGCAGTGTGGGATGCAGGTGTATGGACTGCCAGGCTAAGTAACTGATCCCTGGTCACTTTCTTTGGAGGAGCAAGAAAGTGTTGGAGCAAGTCTGACTGCTAAGGACTAACCGCTGTCGCTGGGCTGTGTCAGAAATACTCTGTTAATTCAGGTCTACAAGCACAGCCCCGTACCATCTGGGGATCCGTTAGTATATCCAGTTCCTACTGATGGGGAGAGTACTTTTTGATTAGAAATCTGAGAAGAGTCAACCAGGACTTCTTGTCACTCACACTGATGTCACCATCTCCTAAATCAATATTCTGCAGATATTTAAAGACTATCTTGCTTTGAAGCTGTGCCAGTGATTAGCTTGTCCAGGACCTGCAGCCGTCTTACTAAGGGGTTGGTAATTGGAGTGAGCTTCCTGTGGCAAAGATTGCTAATTACGTCTCAGTAGCCAACACGCCCCCAACACACACCCACTGCTGTAATAATACACCCCGACTGTCTACTCAGCTGGAAGTCCGCACGTCCGATCCTCCACTGTAGCTGGGTAGCCAGGTCTGGCCAGGGCCTTGAAGCAGTCAGCCATATTTCCCGAAGTCTCCCTAAAAGCGGAGCTGAGGCTGTGCCTCCTCCTCCTGCTGCTGGAATCTGCGCAGCAGCTGAGGTGCTTACAGCCAGCCCGGGCCCCGGTGTGACCTTGGCCATGGGAATGCATGGAGTGGTGCAGCGACATGGAAGTAGCCTGGGCTCCCGATTGGGTTTGTCAGTCCAGCCTTGGGCTTGTGGGTGACAGAGAACTACCCTGAGTGAGCTGGGCATTTTCAGATGTTGTTGTTGGCAGACAAAGCTGATGTTGCCTCGAGAGGCCTACCTGAGGAAGAGCACACATTACTTGGGTGATGATGGTTCACTGTGTAGCGGTTCCCAAGAAGCTCCTAGAGCCGACAGTGTGTGAACAAATGGGCCATTTCGATTACAAAATCAGGGAATGGGGTGGATTTCGCCCACGGGCCATCATTTGCTAACCCCTAATCTGGAGCAAGGAGCTGTGTAAGACTTTTTTTTTTTTTTTTTTTTTGACAGGCAGGGTGGACAGTGAGAGAGAGAGACAGAGAGAAAGGTCTTCCTTTGCCGTTGGTTCACCCTCCAATGGCTGCCACGGCTGGCGTGCTGCAGCCGGCGCACCGCGCTGATCCGAAGGCAGGAGCCAGGTGCTTCTCCTGGTCTCCCATGGGGTGCAGGGCCCAAGCACTTGGGCCATCCTCCACTGCACTCCCTGGCCACAGCAGAGAGCTGGCCTGGAAGAGGGGCAACCGGGACAGAATCCGGTGCCCTGACCGGGACTAGAACCTGGTATGCTGGCGCCGCAGGCGGAGGATTAGCCTAGTGAGCCTTGGCGCCGGCCTTGTGAAGACTTTTGTAAAGACTGCTCATTCTCGGATTCTGGAATCTGCCCCAGGAGGGCGTACTGTCCGAAACATCCTACGTCTGCTCCCTTTCCTCCAACTCCCTGTCTCAGGTGATGGCAAGCGAATGGCCTTCCGCCCTGTACCTTGGCCCCAAGATTTATCTGCTCGGGACACATAAATGAGCATTTTGCAAGTCTCACGCCTGACTGTGAGATACGCTAGGACTGAGCGGAAGTCAAAGAATAGTCTGAAATGCAGGAGTAGTCCGGACGGACACTGGGTGGTTCTTGTTTGTTTGTTTTGAGCAAGAACAGATCCCAGGATGTTCCGGGAGACAGACCGCTGCGTGTGAACCTAATCTCATCATGGCGGACAAATGGCGGAATTCCCTCCTGCGTGCCCTGGAGGAGTAGGTGTTCAGATACTCAGGTTAGAAGAGGACGTTTTGTTCCTGCTGGTCCTGCTGGATCACAAAAGTCCAGAGAGTTTCTAACATGCCAAAAAAAAAAAAAAAAAAAATCCAGGGGTAATTATCGCGAGGCAGGGGAGCTGGGTCCCCATCAGGGTGGTGCCTGGGTGCGTGTGGGTGCTCGCACTGTGTGCACGTGTTGGGTGATGAGAACAGTGAAGAAGCTAAGTCACAGCATCACTTATCGGCTCCTGATGCCCTTCACCACCTCTGAATGCACCCATCACGTTGGGTCTCTAAGTTCATGCAGATCGAGGGCCTGTGATGTGGGGTATGTGGCTTTTGTTTCAGGCCAGGGCAGGAGAGCGAGAGGAAAGAGAAGCGTGGGGGAACCTAAGCCTCGGCTTCCAGCCACGCACCGCGTCTGGAGACAGCAGCCGATTGTCATGAGTGGTGCGGGTGGGCTGTAAAACAGAGTGGTCGTACGGAGGACGGACTTGGTATGGAATAATCAGACTTTTCTGAGAGGTAGAATGTGGGAGGAAGGGGATTTTTTTTTTAAGTATTTTCTTCATCTCCAAAAAGAGTGGTGATGAAAATGGCCCCGCTGTCGGCAGTGGAGGTGGCTCCAGAGGGTATGCACACGGACGCCCCCAGAGCAGCTCTGCTCACAGACTCACACCCTCCTCCTGGGGCTGCCATGTGCTCCGCACACCCTCCTGCTCACCAGCCGCGGATGCCGCCTCCAGGATCTGGACCGTCAGTCAGGGCTGGGACTCCGAAGGAGAGTGCCCTGAGCCCGGGGCCGCTCACGGGAGCACCCTGAACCCGGGGCCGCTCACAAGAGCACCCTGAGCCCGGGGCCGCTCACGAGAGCACCCTGAACCCGGGGCCACTAACGAGAGCACCCTGAGCCCGGGGCCACTCACGGGAGCACCCTGAGCCCGGGGCCGCTCACGAGAGCACCCTGAACCCGGGGCCCGCTCACGAGAGCACCCTGAGCCCGGGGCCGCTAACGAGAGCACCCTGAACCCGGGGCCCGCTCACGAGAGCACCCTGAGCCCGGGGCCGCTCACGAGAGCACCCTGAGCCCGGGGCCACTAACGGGAGCACCCTGAACCCGGGGCCGCTTACGATGATCCTCCTAAGGGTCACGTTCCCTTTTGTGTTCTGTGACTTGTAACTTGCAAAGCTTTGGCATTTTTAATAGAATTCTGAGGAGGGTCCTCGCCGTGAGAAGCACCTCTCAGTGTGGCCAGCCCAGCGTCTGAGAGCATGTAAGTGCGTGTGACACTGACCTGGTCAAGCTCGTCATTTGTGGTGCCAGGAACAGCATCGGCTGGTTCGGTGCAGGGGACTTCAGCCTTCCTCCCTCTGTCCTTCCAGTCACCCTCCTGCCTTTCTTTTCTCTGTTTGTTCTTTTCTGCTTGTTTGTCAGATTGCAGCCAGTAAACACACCAACCTGCAGGGGGAAGTGGCCGACTGGTTGACCCCACATCCTGTACTGCAATGCCTGGGTGTGCAGATTCCAGCTTCTGCGGATG